GTTAAAAGGGTCAGGTAGTAGCTGGTGTGAAAGACTTTAATGGGCCAGTAGACAATATTGAGCTTGATAGACTAATGCTCTGAATCAGCAGAACACAGCTTCCTATGACATATGGATGTCTCCGTGACAGAGGCATCATACCATACAATGATTGGAAACAGGGGTCATTTCCTGCAGGAGCGGAGCTCCGGCAGTAAAGAGCCCAGGGGGTGGGGACATGAAACAAGCCCCACCCCCTGCTCCCAGGGGCCCTCAGTCGGAGCAAGAAGCAGCTAGGTAAGTTGCAGAGCTGGCCCCCCGGTCCAAAACAGTCCAGTGGCACCCTTAAGACCAAGTTTTATTCAGGTACAAGCTCTCCCTCCTCTGTGAGGACAGATCTCCACGTCCCCCCCCCCAATAGCTGGCAATCTAAAAGTCCAGTGGTGCCTGAGCAGTGGGTGTTGCCTTCTGACACACTTCCGGTGATGTCAGGGGGTGTGGCATATGCAAATGAGTTATGTTAATGAGTTATGCTAATGAGCTTCTGCACCTCTTTTTCTACGAAATGACCCCTGATTGGAAAAGCTACTGGGCAATTCAGGAACAGGTCGGTTTCTGAAGCGGCTGTATATGGAGTTCATTTCTTAACACAGTCACGGCATCCAGAACCAGAACCAGCAGGTTGAAATTAAATCAAAACCAGAACCGATGAGTTGAAATTAAATTAAAAGTGCTAAACCTTAGGAAGAACTTCCTGACCGTTAGAGTCAGTGGAACAGGCTTCCTCGGGAGGTGGTGGGCTCTCCTTCTTTGGGGGTTTTCAAACACAGGCTAGATGGCCATCTGACAGCAGTGCTGGTTCTGTGAACTTGGGCAGACCATGGGGGGAGTTAGATCAGTGCTTAGTTCTCGTGGCCCTTTCTCAGACACCCAGGGAAATGCCGATTGCCACATTGGGGTCGGGGAACAATTTTTCTCCAGGCCAGTTTGTCATCTTCTGGGCATGGAACAGGGTCACGGGGGGGGGGTGATGGGGAGGTATTTGTGAATCTCCTGCATTGTGCAGGGGGTTGGACTAGATGACCCTGGAGGTCCCTTCCAACTCTATGATTCTATCCTACCAAAAGAGAGAACAAAAGTCACCTAACACTTTGGAGAACAGGGGCTACTAGCTTTATACCTCAGTCATATCTCAAATCCATGTGTTCGCTTCACAGTAATTGTATGAATGCCAGTTTATGCATGCCCAGTCCAAAATGGGATGGGCATTGGCATGTTGAATTGTAGTTTGGACTTATGGTGGAATACCCCTGCAAAAAACAAAACAAAACATGGTTTTCCTCTGGGAAAAATATGGAAATACCCAAGCTTTCCACTGAACTGAACCAATTCCACTGAATCTTCTGTGTTGCATCCCAGAATCTAGTTAGACAAATATGTGTCGCAATACCAAGAACTGGTGACTTCATGTGGCCTGTCAAGTGTAATAATAAGTTGGTGTGATCCGGCATGCTGGTTGCAGTAGTGAGATTTGCAGAGGTGTTTTCCAATTCACAGTCCATGTTTCCTGTTGCTGGGGCAACAAGGGGGGACCGAACACATAGCTGGAAGTGAAGTAAGAAGAAAGACTACTTTGTTGAATGGGAACCATTCCAACTGTGGCCCCGGCACTTAGGTGAAATGCATTAACAACCAAAAAAGGCATCATTTAAACTTTGCCAGCATGCAAATCATATTGTTTGGCATAGTTTAGCATTCCAAATGTATAAATACTTTCGTTTTCCACAACAAAAATTACAAATGCACTCAATTCTAAGGAGAGAGAATGAGAGAGCGTCAAACTGCTGCAACTGATGCTACCTTAGCAAATGTATCTTATTTTTTGCCATCTGAGAGCGCGTAATGATTGAGAACAAGATACACAAGTCTTGTAATCAAGAAAAAGAAGGGTGTTACTTGGATAGAAACGGTCTCATACAGTCACGGTAGGATTTGCAGGATATTTGGATACTGAGTTAAAGTTGTTTTTTTTTTAAAAAAAATGAGCTATTCAGTAGTGTATCTTCATGCAAATTATAACTTGCTGTGGACAAAGTTAGTTGCATATGAACAATATCCTTGTAAATACTGTGTACGTCTACAGTATATAATGGAATGACCATAACCGAATGCTGTAGTTTTACATAAAAGTCTTCATGCTGCACTTACTGAACAAAGCCATTGTCTTGAAAAGCTCGTTCCAAAAGAGAAAATATTGCATAGGATGGTTTTTTCACTGCTCCCTAAAAAAGTCGATTTTTTTTCCAATTGAAAAATTGAGGAAAGTGGTTTTTTTGGGGTGACACACTTTTTTGTTGCTGCTGATTTTCTGGGCCTTCACGTCTGTAGTCCTAGGCAGCTCATGAGGCTAATTGTACCTGAGCCCATACATTTGGTTTAGAATCTTTGTAATACAGTGTGGCTTGGATGCATTGGGGGAGAATAATTGCACCCTGTCTAGAAGAACCACACATTCTGGTACAAAGTCCAGTTGGGGCATCATTCAAGAGGATCCCTCTTGAGAGATCCAGTTTGGTGTAGTGGTTAGGAGTGTGGACCACTGTTTCCTCTAAGCTGAGTTAGTGTGAGCTAGCTCACAGTTTTCTAGCCTCCGGCTCACACATTTTTGTCTTCGCTCAGGAAGGAGGGCTCCAGAGCACACTAATTTCTGCAGTAGCGAAATTGCTCACTCACGACTTTAATGCCAGTAGTTCACAAAGCAGACTTTTTGCTCACAAGACTCCACAGCTTAGAGGGAACATTGGTGTCGACTCTAATCTGGGAGAACCGGGTTTGAGTCCCCACTCCTCCACATGCAGCTGTTGGTGTGACCTTCATTCAGTCATAAGTTCTTTCAGAGCTATTCTCTCAAGGGCAGTTCTCGAGAGAGCTCTCTCAGCCCCACCTACCTCACAGGGTGTCTGTTGTGGGGAGGGGAAAGGAAAGGGATTGTAAGCTGCTCTGACACTCCTTTGGGTAGTGAAGGGCAGGGTATAAACCCAATCTCTTATTCTTCTCATGCTCACATGTTTCCCGTGGCAATTTGGGACTCTGTTCCAGCATGTCCTTTTGCTTTACTTCTCACAGGCATTTATCATTTTAATGAAAGTACCTCCTTACCACCAGCAGGGGGTGCGGGGCCACCAAATTAGTTGATAGAGGAGGGCTGGAACTACATTATGGATAGCTGGAACAAAGCTGCAGCCGGTGGATTCGATAAGCCTGGTGGGTAGTTTACTCCAGGGCCTAATTGCTTACAGCAATCCATCCAAAAAGTATCAGCGCAACACACTTGTTCAAAGCCCTAACAAAATATTAGTCCATCCAATGACATTTTTGCATTTAATCAGTGGAAGCTTTCATTGCATCTTGCCATTCTTGCTGCCCCGTAAAGGAGATGTCTTGGGGAAGAGCCATAGATGAATACTAGAGTACACGCATTCATTAACTAACAATTAGAAAAGCCAGGGGATCCTAAGTTTGTCCAGTAAAAGAGCAAAAATGTCAGTCTGGTTGATGTGGATTGGGTAATGGTGCAGTTTTGTGTCAAGTGGTGTAACTCTCTGAAACTGGTCAACTCTGAAACTGGTCAACTCAAAATCAGGCAATCAGAACTCAGTAGAGAGTCAATTAAGATTCCTTTGGCCAGTTGACGTATGTGTGGAGCAAAAATGGTACTTCTTCCCTTGAACCAGTGACATAACCAGAGGTCATTTCGGGGGGGATCGCAGTTCCCCTGGGTGAGGTATGGGGGCGGGGCACATGACGAAGCCCCGCCCCCTGTTTCTGGCCGCCCCGCTTCCGGCCCTCATTCAGCCAGGAGGAGGCAGGAGAAGAGGGAGGGTAAGTTGCTTCCTCCCTGCCTCTCCCCACCCCTGCCTGCCTGGGGCCAGGGAGGGCCTTCGCGGGGCTTCCTTGCACTCCCGCCGGCCTTGCAGGTCTACTGCCGAGCCCCTTATGGGGCTCGGCAGTGGAGCTGCAAGGCCGGCGGCGGTGGCCGGGACCGTTGGGGGCGGGGTGTGTGGCCTTATGACACACTTCTGATGATGTCAGGGGGTGTGGCCTTATGACACACTTCCGGTGATGTCAGAGAGTGTGGCATATGCTAATGAGTTATGCTAATGAGTTCCCCTAGCTCTTTTTCTACGAAACGATCCCTGGACATAACCAAGGCTAACAAGTGGCTTTACCATGCAGGGCACTCCAGGATGTGGTTCTACTTCAGATCAAGAATCCAAGCCGCCTCAGAGTTGGGTGGGACCTTCATAAAGTTAGACCAGGAATCCCCAACCTTGTTGAACCTGTAGGCATTTTTTTTTTAATTGAGAACTGGTAGAAGGCCCGACAACATACTTGGCCACCATAGGGGCTGAGTCCAATCACAAATGTTGGGAGGTTCCACAAAATGTTCAGAGCCAAGCCGATGACAAATGCCACTGTCCGGGTGTTCCCTGCAGATGGGAAAGCAATGCCTCCTGAGCTCTTCCAAAGTATCTTCTACTCCAGGGAAGTGGAGAAAAGCCAGGATTGGCTCTTGGTTTTGGGGAAGACATGTTTTGGTAAAGAAGGAAGTGGGCACCAGGAAACACACTGGTGGGCACCTTGGCACCCTCAGGAACCACATCAGGGACCACTGAATGAGAGAATGTGTAGCCTTGTTTCAGGACCATAACCTTCTGCGGGGAGGACCTGCCTTCATACCACTGATGTTGTTATAGGGATGCTCAGTAGATGAGCTCGGTGTTATCTGGCCTGCTGTTGGTATCTTACTGGGGACAATCTGATGCTACCTGCTGTGGTCACGGTACTCTACACCAAAAGCTTCAGAAATATCGCTGACTGTTATGCCCTCCTTCGTAGCATTCTTGATGTATGTTTTATACTTTGGGGTATATCGCATTAGGCACTGTTGAAATACAGCTTGGCATTAGTCTACATCCGACGAGGGGGGAAAAAATGATCCCTTTTCCTTATTTTTTTAGCCAAAAGCTGGGTCTCTTGGATCGGGTTCGTGGTACCAATACTAAAGGAAAGCTATTTACCCCTCTGAATGTAGATGCAATTGAAGAAAGCCCTTCTAAAGAGCCTAAGACTGTTGCCTTGAATAATAGGGAGCGTTTTCGTACCGCGTTCCGAATGAAAGCGTACGCATTCTGGCAAACCTCTGAAGGTAAATGGTCTTCCGCTTGTCTTTTTCTCTTTTCCCAAGTCTCCCGCCGACTAGAGTCGAGATGAACCAGTGCATGATTCTTAAATTTAGCTAAAGTTCTGATATGTCCCCCTGGGCTTCTGAATGTTAGGATTTTCATGTTCTGGTTTTAAAATGTGGTTTTTGAGGGGCAGTAAAGAAGTCAGTACTGCGGTGGCTCAAGTGGTTGAGACGCTGAACTGCAGGCTGTGGAAGGTCAGCAGTTCAGCAGTTCGAGACCCGAGTGTGCCGCATGACGGAGTGAGCTCCCGTCTCTAGTTCCAGCTCCTGCCAACCTAGCAGTTCAAAAGCAATAAATTGCAAGTAGATAAATAGGTACCACTTCGGTGGGAAGGTAACAGCGTTCCGTGCGCCTTGGTATTTAGTCATGCCGGCCACATGACCACGGAAACTTCTTCAGACAGCGCTGGCTCTTCGGCTTTGAAGCGGAGATGAGCACCACAACCCTAGAGTCAGATTCGACTGGCTTTCGAGCAAGGGAACCTTTACCTTTACCTAAAGAAGTCAGAGGGGCTGTGGTGGCTCAAGTGTTAAGATGCTGAACTGCAGACCAGAAGGTCGATAGTTCAGCAGTTCAAGACCCGAGTGCCGCATGACAGAGTGAGCACCCCTCCCTGGCCCCAGGTCCTGCCAACCTAGCCGTTCGAAAGCAAGATATTGCAAGTAAATAAATAGGTACCGTTTCGGTGGGAAGGTAACAGCATTCCGTGCACCTTGGAATCTAGTCATGCCAGCCACATGACCACGGAAATGTCTTTGGACAGCGCTGGCTCTTCGGCTTGAAAACAGAGATGAGCACCATGTCCCTAGAATCGGATTTGACTGGCTTTCAAGCAAGGGAAACCTTTACCTAAAGAAGTCAGGTCTTTGACTAAAGTCTCAGCCCGTTTGGCATCCCGTTTGTTCTTAATACAAACATGGTTTTGAACGATTGGAATGGAATGTGGGACACGTATCCAGGGCACAGTTCTGTGTTCCATCTTGGAATACCCGCCTGACCCCCAGATGCCCGGCTAGATCCAGCCAGCTTTTACCCTCAGCAGCACCCGGCTTCCTTCCTTATTGCCGATTCCCTCCCTGTCACTCATAGCATCCCCAGCATAGTTTTTTTTTTTTTAATGACCAATGAGAACACTCTCCTCTAGGGTTACCAGCCCCCACATCCGGGTGGGGGTCCCCGCACTTTGGGGGGGGGCGCCAGTCCACTGTCATCCAACTGGCTGGCAGGGGAAAACCCTGCCCCCAAGCCCCACTCCCAAGCCAGGGCCACCCCTCTCCCTCCCCTCCTGCAGAGATTTAAAGGCCTTCAGCTGATCGGTGGGGAGTCTGTGGCCCGCCAATCAGCTGGAGGGCCCTTTAAATCTTCCAGCAGGGAGGGAGAGGGGCTGTCACTGGCTACAGCTCCAATAACAAAAAGACCATTTAAATGTTATTTTTGTGAGCAGGGTGGGGACAGCGGTATGCAGGGCTGATTTCCGAGTGGCGATTCCCTGCCCCCCCTGGAACGCCCCCCCCAATCCCCCCACTGGAGTGAGGAGGGAACCGGGCAACCGTACTCTCCTCCCTTTTTTTACCGATCAAAAACCTGGTTGTCTCCAACCCACTGTTTTCAAAGGAGGAAGGGAAATGCAAAACACAATGCAATGGGATATGTGGTTAAGGGGCTGGTGGCTTCCACATTTGTGGGGGCCTGGGATCCCCCGCCTCCAGGTCTCGCTGCCTGTTATTGCTTGAAGCAGGGGTGGGAGAAATTTATTTATTTATTTAAAATATGGGCTCATGTACTTATCAGAAGTGGAGGTGCGGTGGCTGAAGTGGTTAAGACGCTGAGCTGCAGGCTGTGGAAGGTCATTAGTTCAGCAGTTCGAGACCCGGGTGCCGCATGATGGACTGAGCTCCCATCTCTAGTTCCAGCTCCTGCCAACCTAGCAGTTCGAAAGCAAGAAATTGCAAGTAGATAAATAGGTACCACTTCGGTGGGAAGGCAACAGTGTTCCGTGCGCCTTGGTGTTTAGTCATGCCAGCCACATGACCACGGAAACGTCTGCGGACAGCGCTGGCTCTTCGGCTTGGAAACGGCGATGAGCACCGCAACCCTAGAGTCAGACTCGACTGGCTTTCGAGCAAGGGAGACCTTTACCTTTACCTTACTCATCAGAAAGTCTTACCAGAAGTGACAAAAGGTAGTTCTAGGAATTGCCAGGAACTGAGGAACATTTGGGAGACAAAATTAAAGCTCTAATCGTGCAACATGGGGTGTACAATAAGGGCCTGGAGAGAGGCTCAGGATCATACCCACTGGTTCCTCCTAGACCTCTAGGCACGCTTCAGAACTTCTGAACAGAAGCTACACTGCCTGTACATGTAATTCCCCCCCCCCATATGCTCAGTGTACACTCCCCTGAATCTAATATCAAGAGCATTCAGCATACATTAACATTGTTCTTTTCACTTCTGTTTCTGGGTGCTTGCCCCCACTTTTTTAGATGCTGGAACTGGGGATCCTCTGGCAGACGACAGAGGGTACGGCAGTGAGTTCCTCACTGAAGACATGATCCCCACTCTGAAGGCAGTCATCCGAGCTGTCAGGTAAATTTTGTGTATGTTGTCCTTTCGGGTTGCATTAGGGTTGCCGTCCCCCCAATGGGGGCAGGGTGTCCCTCGATTTCGGGGGGGGGGTCCCCCAATCTGCCGCCAGCCAGCTAGCTGGTGGGGGAGCCCTGCCCCCAAAGAGCCCTGTCGCACCTGATGTGCTCAGCGCAGTGACATCTGGTCACCACACCTTTAAAAGGATATTATAGCTTTGGGAAAAGTGCAGAAAAGGGCGACTCGAATGATAAAAGGGTTGGAACACTTTCCCTATGAGGAAAGGTTAAGGCGCTTGGGGCTCTTTAGCTTGGAGAAACGACGACTGAGGGGGTGACATGATTGAGGTTTATAAGATTATGCATGGGAAAGAGCAGGTAGAGAAAGAGGTACTTTTCTCCCTCTCTCACAATACAAGAACTCGTGGGCACTCCATGAAATTGCTGAGCGGTCGGGTTAGAACGGATAAAAGGAAGTCCTTCTTCACCCAAAGAGTGATTAACACTTGGAATTCACTGCCACAGGAAGTGGTGGCGGCTACAAGCATGGACGGCTTCAAAAGGGAATTAGATAGGCATATGGAGCAGAGGTCCATCAGTGGCTATTAGCCACAAGGTAGAGATAGGGACTCTGGGGCAAGTGATGCTCTGTCATCTTGGTGCTTGGGGGGGTCAACAGTGGGAGGGCTTCTAATGTCCTGGCCCCACTGGTGGACCTCCTGATGGCACCTGGGTTTTGGCCACTGTGTGACACAGAGTGTTGGACTGGTTGGGCCTTTGGCCTGATCCAACATTGGCGTCTCTTATGTTCTTATGTTCATCACCCAGAGGGGACACCATCGCGCCAGGCACATCACAGGGGGGGACGCTCTAGCATTTGGCTAAAAACTGTATGGTGACCATGGAGCTTTTGGCCAAATGCCAGGGCACCCTCCCCCGTGATCTGCCTAGCACAATTCTGGAACGTCCAGGGGAGCAGGCTGGAGCTCCCCGCAGTGAAAGGTAGGAACCTGTCAACCCTGAGCTGTGTTCTTCAAAGAGCTTCAACCTTCAGGAAGTGAGGTATTGTCAACATTAGGGTGTTCACTGATGGATGCTGGCACTGTGGAGTGAGGACTTTCCAGTATGGAAAAAGTTATCTTTGAAAAAAACGTGAGAGACAGAAATTTCACCTAGCCTCGAACATTATGGAAAGCCCCATCTCCTAGAGAAAGATCCCTCACTTACTTCAAGGGCAAAGTAGGGTACAGCCCAATACGTTTCTATACACACAGTTCACACATTGAGTTGAGAGTCAGCCAATACTGACTAGTTGAGGGCTCTTCTCACCGTATGTGGAAACTAACCGGGAGCTCAGGACAGAGTGCCTGCTTCTCCCTTTCCCAGTTTATTCTCACAACAACCCTGTGTATAGGCTAGCCCAGGGGTCATTTCGTAGAAAAAGAGGTGCAGGAGCTCATTAGCATAGCTCATTAGCATAATTTATTTGCATACACCACACCCCCTGACATCACCAGAAATGTGTCAGAAGGCAACACCCACCGCTCAGGCTCCACTGGGCTGTTTTGGATTGCGATTTACTGGGGGGGGGGGGGAATGTGCAGATCTGTCCTCACAGAGGAGGGAGAGCTTGTACCTGAATAAAACTTGGTCTTAAAGGTGCCACTGGAATGTTTTGGACTGGGGGGGGCTGGGGGGAGCTCTACAGCTTACCTGGCTGCTTCTTGCTCTGACTGAGGGCTGCTGGGAGCAGGGGGTGGGGCTTGTTGCATGTGCCCGCCCCCTGAGCTTTTTACTGCCGGAGCTCCGCTCCTGTGGGCTCCTGCAAGAAATGACCCCTGGGCTAGCCTGAGATGTGTGACTGGCCCAAGGACACCTAGAAAGCTTCCATGGCAGATGGGGGAGGCCCAGTCTCCCTACATAATACTTACAATGGCCTTTTCTCATTTCTCGCATGTTTCTTTTTCTCACCAGCTCCTCAGATCTAGCCACCAGCAGTGGTGGGAAGGAAAGCGTGGAAGCGTCTTGAGGGTCACCAGTTGCCAACCCTTCCCTTTAGACATTGGGTTGGATACAGTCCATGCCAATAAAGGTTTTGAATTGAATTGGGTTGGATACAGATAGGGCTTTCATTTTCCCTCCAGCGGCAGGGGATCCCCTGCTCCGGCTGTCATTTTTCACTGCCACTCCTGCGGGGAGTGGGGGGAAATTCACTGTTGGGCAACAGTTCTCCCCCATGACAGTCCCCCAATGTCTGCTGGTCGCTAGGCCTTGCCTTTGGTCTGGACCCATCCAGGCCATGCCTGGCGACCGTAGATTCACACTAAGTCGACAGTCCCCACTGCAGACATCCCTCATGTCTTTCCTTAAGGTCCACTATCTCCCAGGAACAGCATTTCATGGAGACCAGTGGGAGGAGAGAGGCAGGAAAGTTCCGTTCTGCCATTGGAAAATTTAGTCCCGATCCAACCCCTTTTCTCCACCAGAACATCCGAGGATTCCCCAGTGATATATGTTGTCTTCTTTTGCCAGGATACTCCAGTTCCGCCTCTATAAGAAAAGATTCAAGGAGACCTTGAGGCCTTATGACGTAAAGGATGTGATAGAGCAGTATTCAGCGGGACATCTAGACATGCTTACCAGAATCAAATACCTTCAAGCAAGGTAAAAGGCTCGCTGTATATCATGGACTAAAATTGCACCGAGCTTTCAAACATATGAGGCTAGCTTGCATTGGATCTGGCCACTGGTGGACCCAATAGAGACCCAAAGTGGCTTACAACATTCGCCTCTTCCATTTAGCCTTGGAATAGGGGGAGGCTAGAAATGGAATGAACAAACGAACGAATGAATGTATGAACAAATGAATGAATGAACAACCGAATGTATGAATGAACGAACAGACTAATGAGCGAGCAAACAAACAAATAGCTGGATGGATGGATGGATGGATGGATGGATGGATGGATGGATGGATGGATGGATGGATGGATGGGTGATGTTCTTTCATCTGGTCCATTTTCTTTCCTTTCAGAATAGATATGATTTTTGCTCCTGGACCACCATCTACTCCCAAACATAAGAAATCTCAAAAGGGAGGGACATTCTCTTACCCTTCGCAGCAACAGTCTCCAAGGTGATGTTATCCTGCTTGTAGTGCATTGGTAACAGACATCAAAGTTTCTGTCCTTTTCTTTCACCCAGTCAATGCCAACAAGATGAAGGCAACAGGTACTGACTATGGGATTCTGCTGCCGTTTAGCTGGGGGGAAACCGCATCAGTGCCAGGCCAGATCTGGAGACTTGATAACCTTTGCACGGCAAAGGAAGTGTGAGCCGACAACTCCCCAGATAGAGGAGTTGTCTCTTTGGTTTTCAAAAGCTGAAGTCCAGCATCATGGGTAACAAGCGATCCGTCAGCAATTGAGTGGAGAACTATGATGAGCAGCAGTTACAGTAGATGGATGTATGCTAGCTAGCCAGTCTGTGATTTTAAGTGTGGGATTTTGATGAGCATCGGACAGCTCATAAAGGAAGCCAGGTAGCTCGTCCAGGTGTTGAGTTGAAGCTGACTTCCTTGGTGCATTGGCGTCGAAAGCAAATTTAGGCTCTTCAACAAGAGAAGGTTTGCTTTTCCAATAGGTAAGATGAGAATGGGTTGCCATAACAAAAGTGATCACCCTTTCCTGTTTTCCACATGTGATCTTGGTTGGGTTATGCCTCTTTGCCATCTCTGTATTCAAGAGCAAATGAACTATTCAGTCTCATGGGTTACAGAGACGTGTCTGAATTGCCCACTTCCTCTGGAGGCTGGCCCGGACCTGGATCGCTCAGGCTAGCCTGATCTTATCTGACCTTGGAAGCTAAGCAGAATCAGCCCGGGTTAGTACTTGGATGGGAGATCACCAAGGAAATCCAAGGTTGCTACGCAGAGGCAGGCAATAGCAAACCACCTCTCTTGCATCGAAAACCCGACAGACACCATAAGTTGGCTGTGACTTGATGGCACTTTTCATAGCCACCACTAGAGGCTGATTGGAAAGACGTGAGGCCTGAAGAGTGAATCATGCACTATCTGAACAAATTCTTTGGTTTACAGGATTTTTTGGTTTATTTAAATAATTTATCTGCTTCTAGGAACTGGCAAATCTATCACTGCACACAACACAAGTATGCCCGAGCATACAGTGTGGGAATTACTGAGCTAGGCTTGCCAAGTCCCCCCGGGGGGCGGGGAAAACCCCGCCCCAGAGGCCCGTTCCCCACCACCGCGGATCGGGCCCCGGGGGGAACTCCACCCCGACGTGCACATCACCTGGAAGTGACGTGACCACGCTGGGCACCCTGGGGGCGGGGCCACGGTCATCCGAGGGAAAACTCTATGGTTTTCCCTCGGATGGTCGTGGCCCCGCCCCCAGCGTGCCCGGCATGCCCACATCACTTCCGGGTGACATGGATGCGGCGTGCGCGCTCCAGCCGCAAGCCGGGAGTCCCTTGCTGCAGCTCAGTTCTCACTTGGCAACCGTATACTGAGCTGACTTGTTTTGTGTTTTCAGTGGGGAAGAGTGTAAATGTTAGTTAAGCCTAACTGATGCACCCGCAAGCTGGCCTAGTTGCAGTTCAGTTGGACACGAAGTGCGATAGCCTTTGGTGTCTGCACCACTGAATCAGGGGGTTAGGAAGGGCAAAAACCGTGGGGTCCAAACAGACATACAAACTTCAGCATCGCGTATCTCCTTTTGCAAATAGGTGTCCCTAACCTGCGGTGTCCGTTATCAGTGAGGTGGAAATATTCATGGAGAGAATAGGGAGGGTTTTGCATACCCCTAAACTGGACCATTCTTCACTTTTAGGAATGAGCCGTACATAGCCAAAGCATCCACAGTAGATCCCGAAGACCAAAGTATGATGGGAAAATTCGTCAGAGTCGAAAGACAGGTACAGATTCTCAGGCTCTTGGTGTTAATTTTTTCCTCCCCTTTGGAGTTTTGTATCATTTTTGTACTGATAATCAGCTTCAGTTGTGATCGGCTGCTTACAGTGCAATCCCTAACAGAGTTACGTCTTTCTAAGTCCATTGGCTTCAGTGGACTTGAAAAGATGTGACTCTCCTGCGTATTGAATCCAGACTTCTCTGAAGTTCCATTTCTGTTCCTCTCTGAAGGCTTCGCCGTCACCCCTTACACTTTGCTTCTTTCCAGATGTATAGCGGGCCATAGATGATCCACTACACCAGATGGTTCAGAGCCAGTCATGTTGATGGCTTTAAAATGTATTTGACCAATTTATGGGGAGATAGGTTTGTCAATGCCAGCTAGCCGTCACAATGAGTTATGGAACTCAGTGTCCTCAGGGTAATAAGTTAGGATTCAATCATATGAGGGACACACGAAAGTACGGATAAGAGGAAGTAATTCTTCACCCAAAGAGTGATTAACACTTGGAATTCACTGCCACAGGAGGTGGTGGCGGCTACAAGCATGGACGGCTTCAAAAGGGAATTAGATAAGCATATGGAGCAGAGGTCCATCAGTGGCTATTAGCCACAAGGTATAGATAGGGACTCTGGGGCAAGTGATGCTCTGTCATCTTGGTGCTTGGGGGGGGGGTCAACAGTGGGAGGGCTTCTAATGTCCTGACCCCACTGGTGGACCTCCTGATGGCACTGGTATTTCTGGCCACTGTGTGACACAGAGTGTTGGACTGGATGGGCCTTTGGCCTGATCCAACATTGGCATCTCTTATGTTCTTATGTTCTTAAGTGCAAATAAATCTAAATTTTTGTTGCCAAACACACACCGTATCCTCCTAGCTTCCCTGAATACCCTCTGAGTCCTACTGCCTGCAGCCCCACCCTCCTAGACAGCAGGGTTCCTCTGTAAAGTCCCATCCTCTATGTTCACGTGAGGATGTTCTCCAAATCACAGCAATCAGTACAACTCAGAAGGCAAAAACTCAGAAGGCACTGAGAGCCAAATGTGCAGGACAAATGTGGGGTAGTTCAGTCTATCATCCAACTCTCATATTTGCACAGTCCCACACTTTTTTGAAAAAGTTTAGGGTAATAGACACGTTTCTCCTCTCCTTCATTATACCTCCCACTCCTGTGAGGTTGGTCAGGTTCAGAGAGTGAGTGGTTCAAGGCCACCCAGTGAGCTTCAAGGCAGATGGGGATTTGAACCTGATTCTCCTTGAGCCGAATCCAACCACCGTGCCACAGTGGCTCTTATCTCCACCATGCCTTGCTTGGGAGAAGGTTATAGGGAGACATGTTGTACGGTGACTGTTTATAGAAGTTCGCGGTCCATGCAGTGGAAATTTACCACAAAGAAATGGTAAAAGTGAGAGCCAGTTTGGTGTAGTGGTTAAGTGCGCGGACTCTAATCTGGGAGAACCGGGTTTGATCCCCCAACTCCTCCACTTGCACCTGGCTGGATGACCTTGGGCAAGCCGTAGTTCTGATAAGAGCTGTTCTTGAAAAAGAGCCGTTTCTGTCAAGAGCTCTCTCAGCCCCACCTCCCTCACAGGGTGTCTGTTGTGGGGAGGGGAAGAGAAAGGAGTTTGTAAACAGCTCTGAGACTCCTTTGGGTAGTGAAGGGCGGGGTATAAATCCAATCTCCTCCTCCTCCTCCTCCTCCTCCTTCTCCTCCTCCTCCTCCTCCTCCTCCTCTTCTTCTTCTTCTTCTTCTTCTTCTTCTTCTTCTTCTTCTTCTTCTTCTTCTTCTTCTTCTTCTTCTAAAATAGGGGTGAAATTACCACCTTGTATTGTGAATCTCTGAGGAAAGATGTAAAATTTGGAAGTGAAAACCCCTACCCATTTCCCACCCTACTGGAGAAGCACTTTTTGAATTGTTGGCTAAGAATTGTTGGCTAATAAACCAAATATTTGTTATTCTTTATTCTAACGCTCGTTCTCTTCCAGGTTCATGACATGGGAAAGAAACTGGATTTTTTAGTCGATATGCACATGCAACATGTGGAGCAGCTGCAGGTCCAGGTCACAGAGGTGTGCCCGTCGAAAGATCTTGCATCCCTAGCTGAGGATAACAGATATTCTGAACTGAAGTCCATAATTTACAAATACTCTGAGCCTTCCATTCATGAATTGCCTCCAAGCTTCCACCCAGTTCCCGTGAACAAGGTTCCACCTTTTGGCTTCTCCACACAGGACCGTGGGGGCGGTCCACTTTCATTGCCCTTATGTAGTCAAAACTCTGGTAGGTTGCCGGCCACACCATTCTCGACTTCATACCGTGAGAGGCCGACCGTTTTGCCTATACTTACCTTCATGGACCCTCACGTTTCCTACCAGTCACCTCCAGGAGACTTTCGGAGTCCCCACGCAGAGAGGATCTCTTCAAGACAGAAACACAGCCTAACGAGAGACAGTGATACCCCATTGTCCCTTCTCTCTGTCAACCACGAGGAACTCGAACGTTCACCAAGTGGATTCAGCATCTCCCAAGACAAAGAAGATTTCCCTTTTGGGCCAAATGGTGGGTCAAGTTGGATGAAAGAGAAAAGGTATTTAGCAGAGGGTGAAACGGACACCGATACTGATCCATTTACACCCAGTGGCTCTATGCCTCTGTCGTCAACGGGTGATGGGATTTCTGATTCGGTATGGACCCCTTCAAACAAGCCAGTTTAAAATTCTCCGGGTGGGGTGGGGTGGGGTGGGGTAGGGTGGGGAGTCACTGGCTGGCTTCTTCTCATAATGTAAACATAAACTTTGTATATCTCACTATACGCCCAAAGCTTCCTAGCTCAAAAAACAAAAAACACACACACACCAATGGCTGCACTGCATGCTGGTATTAGTGGTAGTCATTCCGCACCATTTCATACGGCTGATTAAATGCGGTTTTGTTCATGCTGCCAAAACTAAGCAGCTTAGTTTTGAGCACAGTTTTGCATGACTTTACACTATTAAACGGTACAGATAATTTCTTTGGTGGTTTGAAAATAGCAAAAACGATATTCTTCGGCATAACCGATGGTTGGGTTAATGCCGGACAAAGACACATGAGTGGTACATGCTACATTTTTGTAAGCAGAGCAAAAATCAAAAACTTGTCTCCAGAGCAGATGCCCTTTGCAGAATATATATGTATGTTTACAAAACGTTCCCCACAATCTGAAACCTTGGTTATCCATTCAGCCCTTGCTGTTCTAATCATGTGTATTAATTCTCTTCACCTAAACCTTCATTTGTTTGAATATTCTGGATGTTCCTTGTGCCCTTCTGATACCTGAAGTTACTTATATGTGTAAAGCCATAGAGTGTGGGTGCACTGAAATCCCATTGGATTCAATAGGACTTAAGCACTTTGATGTATTTCAATGGGGCTTATATGTTCCTGATGCTCTCTGGATTGTGCCAATGCTTCTGTCACCTCTGAGCATCAATCTCACTGACCTCAGTGGGTCTGAAGCATTTTTATCTTCATTTATGTTCCATTGATTTACATAGTATTTTTATGCACATAACATTCTCTGGATTATGAGGATCCGCTGCCATGTGTGGCTGAAGTCACATTGTAGACTTTATGGGAACAGGTGTGTTGGATGCATTTACGCCTATGTTTTATCTCAAGCATGATACGGAGATGGGAATCTCCAAATGCTAGAGAGCATGCCATGGTCACACATGAGCAAGCTGCCATGGGCTAAGTGACCACCTGTCATGTGCCTACAGTGTGTTTGGACTCCCACTTCTCTGTCTCACATTTCCCTTGTGTCTAATAAGGAGCCCCTGTGCTAGTGAGGGAACGTGTCCCGCCTCTAAAAATGTGAATTGGCCCTGGATCTCATGGAATTCTATGATACTTGAGCACATAACTGGGCTCTTATGGTCCATTAATGTCAATGGGATTTTCGTGCACTTGGTGGCATGCATCCAACCAAAGCGGTTGGCGATGTCCACTGACCCCATGTTGCCACTTATGTTGTTCCTGAGGGTCTTCTGGCACTCAAGGGCAACATTTCAGGAAGCTCAGTTGGCTACAGCAGGAAACAGATGGGCAAATCTGTTATATGTGATCAATGGTTAACAACAGTTGTTTGCTGTCCGAACTAAGCATATATTGGAGTGCATTCTATTCAAGTCTACAGCATCCCCCCCCCCTTTTTTATCTACCCTGCAGTTCATAATAGGTTTTGGCCATTCTTTACAATCATGTCTCCTGGAACAGCTTCATGTACGAATTTTAAGGAGTAGGCCGAAAAATCTCCCATTTCAGTTCTTACAAGGGGATTCCCGTAGGACATGGCTGGAAAACATTTGCCAACTGCAATAGAGTCATACCTTTGACTACTCCTGTTACTACAAAAAAAATTAAAAACCTAAACTGCCGTTCACTTCAACACAGCAAGGGTGGCACCCTCACCTGGCTGTGATCACCAGTGGTTTCGTTCTGGGTTTCCATGATACCAGGATTTCAGCTAGTGTGTTGCACAAAAGGAAAAACAGCCCGGGTACCTCCCAGGAACCAGTTTTGACAGTTTCTTGTGGACAATATGCAGAAATGAATGGCTTAATTTCCCCGTGCCTCAGTTTTCCCATCTGTAAAATGGGGCTAATTATACCTCACTGTATGGGATTGCGTTGAGGCTCAATTTGAGTGTGTGACTATAAAGCACTTTGAAATCCTCAAGGGAAAGGCCCGTAACCTTTCTCCTCCTATACCCATGGCCTGTACCTTTTGGGGCTCGCTTACATGACCATTGTGAGGGGGATGGCACTGGTGTTTGTTTATTCTTTACTTGGGGGTCATGTATATGCTTGCAGAGGAGTAAGGCCCAGCTGTTACAAGTGTGTAAATCATTGTGCATAGAAGAGGAGAGTCTACGGCTGTCTAAAGTTTGCTTGCATAGACTCCCTCCCCATGACTGGGAATGTTTGGAGAGCACTGGGTTGGATCCAACAACCTTTTTTGCTCAATCTTACCGATTCTCCTCCTTAATACATCCCTCATCACATATGGCTTTTGTGCATGCAGCTCCAGTATCCCAAGCACTGCCTATTTTGCCATTCAAAGGTTACCCCCTCTTCCCTTTTCACCAGTGGTGAAGCTGGTTGGATCCAACCTCCTGTTCCTGATCATAGAGATGGAGCCTGCAGTTTGGCTCCGACCATATTTTCTGCTGGTAAAAGACGTAGGAGGAGTCCATTTTTGACCGCCAAAAAAGGTTAAACTGGGGTTTGTGGGATTCCTGTAGACAAAAATCCATGCAGGGCAGAAAGTGAAACAAAGAGGAGAACTGGGCACAATCAAGGGAGAAATTCAGTAGGATCCAGCCCATTGTATTTGCACAAATTCCATGCTCACAAGCTAGCGATCACGAAGCGTTGTGATGCAGGGCCAGCATTCTTGTGCCCTCTCCCTCTCTATGCGCATTGATCTTAGTGCACAAGATGTCATCTTTAAAAGGGCTTATATTTAAGAAGGGGGAGGTGTGTCGTTGTCCCATTGACAACTGGATTGCCGATAAGTGTTCGAACTGGGCCTAAATCAAGGAGGACTGACGACACAGCCATAAGAATATCTCTGTTGACAGACATGGAAATCACAGCAGAGTCATTGGTTGTGTGTATGTGATGCTGCTTCTGTTCCATCCATGGTCACTGGCAAAGGGCTCTCATGGTCCTGAACTGTTAACCACAGCTGCTAACAACTCTTTGTGAGGTTTGGCCGTACAAAGAATCCTGGGTATTAACAAGCCTGGTAACATGCTATCATCTGATAGTATGCTACTAACATCGTAATGGCTGTCCGGAAGTGGTTTTCATGTATTAAAACTGTTCACAAGAGATGGAAAGAAAGATATATAGCATGAGTAGGATATTCGTTGACCTTGTGATTGTGGGTGTCATGTTGCATGATGCAAGAAACCGCCACGTTTAAGTCCAAACCCTGGGTTGGATCCAAACAGCTTTTCTGCAGAAAGGGGATGAGGCCCCTTTGACCACCTGTTAAGGTTTTGCTGGGGATCGTGTGATCTGCACAGACCAACGCCATTTGGGAGGAGGACTGCAGGATGGAGGGGAATTAGTTGAGATCTCGGTGAGAAAGCCGACTGGATCCAACCTTTTAGAAATGTGGCTAATTTAACTGAGCCAAATTTCTGTCCCCGTGAACAGATGTGGGCATTATGATCCATGATCTTGGCCAGCAATCTCCTTTTCGGCCGAAGAAGAATGTTATGTCTTGGCTTTTTATCTTGGGGACACTGCCTTCCTCATGCCTCCATATGATAGAAATGCTAGTCTGGGAACTTGTCTGATGTGAGTTAATATAATATTCTTGTGAAGAAGACCAGAAATGGGGGGAAATGGATTTGTGTGACGATGACAAGAGGACAGATGTCCTTCTTCTCTCCCTTGCTGATTGGAATACATAATATCTATGCGCGGTCTGTGGGAAAGGAACCAAGTGGCACCCAAATCCCCTTTTTATCTAGGATTTGTCGGTTGTGCATATTGTTCATCTGGAACAGCAAGCAGAAAAGAACCACTGTCAAATTTAAAAGACGTTCTAGTCTGACGTTTGAATTGCAGATGTATGCAGCACATGGAAAAACTGGTCAGTACAAGGAGGATGCAGTTCTGTTTCCCTGTGCCAGCCGCTAAGTTATTCTTTTTTTGAGGCAGCAATCGTAGGCTGATTCCATTTGTTTTCTGTCCATGACCAAAAACACATGATAAAACTATCCCATATGCTGACTGAGAGCTGGCTTATAGGGGTACAGCTTTCACACACAGAGTCTGCTTAAAATCTCGGTCTGTGGATGCCATTATCGAGACAAAATGGCCTCCCTGACAGTCTCGGCACGGAGTTCAGCTTTGCTCCAGGAGCAGCCGAACCGACACCAGTGGGCTTTAAACAGTATCAATCTTGGGCTAAGCTTTGTAAATACAGCAACACATCAGCTAAACTGCACTGCCACTTTAGAAACCAGGGACAATGGGAAGAGCAGCATTGATTCCGTATCGTGATGTGAAAGGGGGGCATTCTTTTGAGCAGGAACAGCCAAACTAGACTCCTTTTCTGTTGCTCGGGAATCTGGATGGGAATTTTGCCACACGAACAGACCATTTCCTGGTTCGCTGTGATCGAAATGTTCAAGCGTGGGCTTCGCGCGGGACTGAAAGCGTGCACTTCAATAACATTTTTTGTCTTCTGAAAATCATGTGCACTTTGTCATGAGTTTTCCACACCCCTTTTTTTTTTAAAGGGGGCAAAGGTCTTTTGCAAGGGGGTTGTTATGCAGTGGGAAAGCAAGCGCATCTCTGTTGCTACGGTGTTCTGGGCCTTCGCTCCCATGTCCTGACCAGTTGGGGCACAACATGGGGTTGAATGTACATGGATCATTATGCACAACCACAGCTGGACTGGAGCGGAAGGCTTGATTGGCCATAGCGCTTGATAACACCGGTAGGCAATGGAAGTGCCAGCACAACCCTGCAAGGTAGGAAATCCAGCCAGATTGCCTAGTCAATGAGAATGTGTTCCTTCTTCTCTCCCATTCAAGATACGAGCAGTAGATGGGAGCCGCTTCTTTTGCCTTCAGTGACACACTGTCACACAGTCTGGTCTGATTGTGCCACCCTCTTCACTTTGTGATCCCTGACTGGCTGGGATCATGCGC